GGCTAGCGAATAGCCACTGCTGTAGTCTCTCTTCTTGTTTATTTTCTCGTTCTACTTGTTTCTTTTGCTGTTCTTGTATTGCTGCCATCAAATCTGCTAAGTTGTAGTTTCATTTGTCACTTCTCGTTTCCCTTTTTTCTCATCCCACTTTTGACATCAATTTGTTAAATATCTGGTTGTTTATTTGTTAACAAACTTAACAACTTTTATAATTCACACTATAAATCACAGCGATTCACAATCTCGATAATTTCGCTCTCGATGAGTGCAAAACACACACTTTATGCCTCACTAGCTCGAAACTAACAGAATAATAAATTACACGGAACTCAAAGTAACTTCTGCTCTCTCTTTTACTGCCAGGCTTATATACTAACGAAGCGGGTATCTCCAACACACTCGGACTTCCCCGATCATTGGAGAAACTCATTACGCACGCCAGTAGCGTCACGTGACTTCCGCTGTCGTAACAATATTGTTTGATGTATTATTTATCAAAAACATTGTCATTAAATGACTGAGCTAATAGATCATACTATTCAGAAAAGGAAAAGCGAGCTTAAGTTAAAATCCGATTGATTTGAACGATATTTTAAATTTTCATTTGAACAAACAAAAACTATAAGCAGTTAAATAAGCATAATGAACGAAGGAAAACGTACGATAGTATGGTTATTTTTCCCAATCATTATTCATTTTTTTGTTAACAAAAAGAAAACACTCTCAGGCATAATTTCAATGATCGTAGTAATTAGAAATAAATACATAATTGTCCTGTAAATTAAGGGTATGAGAAGAGAAGCTGAACGAATTTTAATATTTTTATCATAATCTAAAAACCATCCCCGCATTCAAGAACGTAACTTAAATTTTTTATAATACCACTACTACGCACTAGACGGAGCATACGTATGTTTTGAAATGTGTCTCTGGGTTACATGTGCGGGTGTGTAATGCAAATACGTATTTACGATATGTTATTCTTAAATATATTTCAAGTAAGCAAGTTTTTTTAACTATATTATAGTCAATTTTCATAGGTGCATTTGTAGTTTAAATGTTTAGTTATTTACATTAGCGAATTGTAAATGATTAAGCTCATTCCACGAACTTTTATTTCCTATAGTATTAAGTATAACTTAGTTATAAGACAAGTTAGGCCTAAGGACGGTAGAGTTTAGTTTAAGCCTAAATAGGCTATCATTAAGAAATGTGTTCTTATAATTACATTTTATTGTCTTGCATCAAACCATTATGATGTGTATTCGTATCTTACAGTTAAAGTTGAAAGAAGTGCTTAAAATTTGCTCTGATAATTTAGATTGCTCTGTGCAAGAATATGACATACCTTTTTATGATGTTAAACTTAATGTTAGTAAATCATTACTAAGTAACGTTTTTAATTCAGTTATTGTAATTGTAAATTTTACAAGTAAGATATTGGATCAAAATATTTTCAGCTTCTAGGAGGGAGAGATGAAGAATAACCGATTGTGATATTCATTATAGTAATGAAAGCTGAAGTAAATATAGTTAAAATTGAATTATTAAAGTTGTTATTGTTATTATTACAATTACATCCATGTTAACATCATGATCAGATATAATAGTTGGTATAGTAGATAATGTGCTTAGTTTAGGGGGTTTCAGTGATTTTTTTTAAATAATTGAAATAAAAGAAATTCACACACCATTGAATTCCATAGTTACAAATTAGTAGGTTTACTCTGCAAGTCAAATTTTGTAGTTAAAATTAAGGAAAAACAATTAAAAATTGTACCTGAAAAATCAACCTTTTGCTCCACATGACATTTCCATTGGAACAATGTTAACAAAATGTGAGGGATTGATATCCAATTATTGCTTTACTTAATAATATAATACTGCATGACACCCGTGTCAAGGCAAAATAAAATGTTGTCCCAATAAAGCCCATCAATTTCAAACTTATATATGTGGATTCATATTATTTGAATGAATTAAATGAAACTTGTCAATAACCAAATTTTATTAATGAAGTATGAGCTTGCCTATGTACCTATGAAATTATAAGAGAGATTTTGTAATGACATTGGTTGTAAACTTGAAATACCGTGATGGACAAATAAGTACCAGTAGTAACCTTTACCCATTCTACGTCATGTCATGATGTAATTGATGCATTGTTCATTCCATTTTTATCATAGACTATTGTAGGACACTTTCTTTCGTTGTAGCCACACCCATTGATAGGATGCATAGCAAACTGTTGTCAGGACAACATAGTCTGTTTACGCTTGATGATATGACATAAAGCAAGTAGTTGCCACGACAACGTATAGGCTGTTTACAATCCCCATTCATCATTTTTTGACATGTTGGTGGTCGATTTGGGCAGACATACTTATGAATCAGTTCATGTAATCTGTACCACAAAGTTTATTGTATGGCCTTGTTTCTACAAATTCAGTGGCTAAAGTGAATTTTGAATGGTTGAAAAATTATTTTTTTTTGTTTTCAAATAGTAAATGCTTCTGGATACAATGCAACCAGCCAGACCAAAATAGAGTGTGAAGAGAGCTATTGTCTGATGTATCCTTATTGGTTCAGCCAGTTTAAGCCAACACTCTGTTTTATGGTTTTAATATTCACTCACTGGTTGCTGCCAACTATATGGTGGAAGATAGGTTCAGTGATCACTGTGTTGTTTTTAAAGCCAATTTCCAACTAGTGGGAGTATGGTTGCCTTGAAATAAATCATGCAAATTCAGTGTGTATTAGTACTGTAGATGTTTCATTAGTTTTTTGATGTACAATAATTTGTATTTTGTTTATGCGAGATTTATATATTCACAACTGAGATTTCGCATTCATACACTTCTGTGGCCGGGAACTATATGATCTATGGGACACCCTACTTGGTTGAAGACCCCTGATCAGAAGATTGAATGTTTGAGCACCAATATTCCACTGACTACTCTTTATATATCTGTAGGTCTAACTTGACAATCTTTTTTTATATACATTTGGAGTTCCTTTGGGATATTTTATGTGAAATCTCTATGGTACCTAAAGAGGTTGGCCGGAAAGCTGTATTGGTTGTCCAATAAAAACAAAAAAACAAATATCCTCAAGAAAGATTCAATTACAACAGTACTGATGTGCCAAGACTCAATTACGAGAATTTTGATGTTTTTATATCCTATTTCCAAACAGTACAATTAATGTTTAGTTGGCAGTTTTTTCATCTTTATTCAACTAATTTTTGATGCCTTATTTCCCAGGAAGTTTCATTACGTTGGAAAAAATAAGCCCAAACTATGCTGATGTTACATAGTATATCAAGAAAACAAACAGTAAATGACATGTAAAACTTTTAAACAGAACATTGATCTTGGCCAATTACATTCAATATTTTCATTCCAACTAGCTTGGCCTGTCTGCTAAGTAAAGCCTGTAGTAAGATAGATTTGCATCGGAACTCTCTCACATTGTATTATACTGTAATATGTACACAATGCCTGAGTGCTGTACATGTTCACACACTGCTGATATGTATTTATTCATACTCGTAGTTTGTATCGACCTGAAGAGAGGCAAAGCTAGCCTTATTTTTTGTTAATCTGTTTTGCACTGATCACAACTTTAATCAAATTTTGTTTGCAATTATCATTATTGTTCTGTTTAATTCATGAGTTTTCCACTTTTATCATGGCAGCTAAGCCTTCCACATTACCTAGACTCGATAAGTCGTGTCTGTCTGATATTAACCTTAGGCCTATACATGGGTAATCAAAAGGGGGTTAGTGTTTCAACTGTGACGATTAATGATGAAAATTCTGAGCTTGATTTTGAAAACTTGTTTGTTTTAGTTCCTACAGAAGGTTTATCAATAAGAAGTTGAGACAGCCATCTTAGTTTTATTGCCATAAACATCTGCACTAGAAATTAATTTCACTAAATATTTGTGTTATCAGTATTCATTTTCATTGTGAATTCCTGCCTGCCCATATATATATACATACAAACATCGTGCAATACTATATATGGTAATGTAACTAACTGAGCTGTATACACTGTACTGTGTAACCACACATAGCCATTCATGCAAAATTTATTTGCATAAAGCAGCACAGAGATGCAGCTTGTCCAGGATAAAAAGTTTAGTGATTAAAACATCATTATTAGCCAATCACAAAAGCAAACTTTTCATAATGTTTTCAGTCCCTTAAGTTGGATTGTACCAAAATCTTTATTGTATAAAGTACAATCTTTTTTAAACAAAAAATGGACCAAAATATATTTTTGTGGGGGTTCAAGTTTTCATGTTTGTAGTTAGGGAATTTACTGATGATTTTGATCAAGGATTAGAGTCAGCATTACATGTGTAGTGTGGGCATGGATAAGTTTATGGTAGACTGCAGTAAGGGTCTATTCCAGGGTGCTTGTCTTCCTTTAGACAACATGGATGTTTAAGTTGGTTTTCCGAGGAAGGTTTAAGTCATTTCAGATAACTGTTAAAATTGAGCTCTGCTTTTACTGTATTTATCAGTGACTTTGAATATTACCAGAACAATTTTATACTAGTGCCTTCTTTACTAATAAATAACTGTTGAATCTGGCATTTGTTTATGTATGAGTGTGAATTATGCTAAAAGCAAGTCTTTACATAATTAGATTGAAACGTACCTTTTTGTGATATTTTATAGTATCTTATGTTTATATATCTTACATTTGAATAATACTAGAATGAGAAGAATTGATTCTAATCTCATTTTACATATTTCAGATAACCTGCAAAAAGTATTTTTCTCATTCCTTAGTAGTTCATATGGCAATTAGAAAATCATTTTGATGCAGGGTAAGTCCTTAATGCTGGATCTTCAAAAATAGTTTAATTATACTTCAGTTAAATGTTTTTTATTCTACTTGACATTTTGGCTTACATCTTTTACAAGGGTCTATGATGGTCATGGATTACAAACTGATTTTAAATTATAGTAAATGAAAAAAAATATAAAATTACAACAATATAATAGAATGGTGCATGGTGAAGTGTACTAAAAGTATTGTTGAACAGATTAGAGTCACTGATAATAAAATTTAATGTTCAAAAATAAAATTAAAAACAAATCTTACATGAAATAATGGTAGTTTTATAAGATTTAGGTATTGTATCTCTTAACCCTTTCCTCTTGGGCTGATGCTACTTGCATCACTTTGACTGGGGAAGGACATTTACACAAAAAAATAAACGGAAACTGAGTGTTCCTCACAAAATCTCATAAGATTTTGTTAAAGTTTATAAGTATTTTGTATACAAAGAATGATTAGTTTAATGATGTCTTACTAATAAAAATGTTATTTATCTGTAGTAGTTATTTGCACTCAAACTGTTAAAATAGATCAAGTGTAAGGTGATTTTCATTTGAAGTATAAATATTTTTTTTTGTTTTCTAGTTTTCATATTTTATTTGCATAATCTCTAGAACCCCCTAAAAGAATATCAAAAGTTTTTCAAGGTAAAGATTTATATTATATATTTCATTTTCTCTTCCATATTCCTAACTCAATGCAGTGAAATAAATTAAATTAAGAAATAACAAAAACAAAATATATATATACCTTTTAATTTTTTGTAGGATATTCTTAAAGATTTTTCTTTTGTAAAATTCTTAATTTTAGGTCTTTTTTCACATAGTTAATTTTTAATATTTTATTTTCCTTTCCTGTCCTTTACTACTTATTAATCTCACCACAAGTCAACGGGGTCCTTGAGGCATATTACAATTTCCTTGGGAGACACGCACAACCCTTCGTCAAAATTTTCATGCACTGCATAATATTGTATGCCTTGAGAACTGACACAAAGTATGATGTATGTTTAAAAATGTTTGAACTTTTTAATTATGCATCTTAAGACATAAATAATGCATAATTAACTAAAATATAATAGTAAGATCTAAATACAATTTAAACTGTGTCTCTAACTATAACATATTTAGGTAAGAATCAACTGTAAGTGCTATAGTTGATCAAGCAGT